AAAGATTATAAAGTTCTGGTAGGAAAACCTCAAGTGAAGAGACCACATGGATACCGAAATGAAGACTGTAAAATAACATTACAATTTATCTTCGAGAAATAAGAACTGAAGGGTTGAACTGGGCTGGACTGGCTCAGGATAGGGTTCAATGGTGGGCTTTCTGAACATGGAAATGAACTTTCAGGTTCCATAAAAGAATTGAATTCAGGGAAGAGCTGACTACCAACTTTTCATGCATGATCCTGCATTATTTAAGTAGCTTAATGGTAGTCTTCACTACAATCTTCAAAAGAGGTACTGATTGAAGAAAAATTCGGTGACATCAGTACTCAATTAGGAGGTCAAGTTGTTACATATTCTGGCTCTTCAGTGTTTGTTGGCAAAAAGCACAGCTCATGTTAGTCCAAAGCTATTTAAGTTACGGCTTTACAAAACCACTGTCGTGCATAATCTCTTAATTCCAGATTGCAAAGAAAGAATTCAATACAACAGATGGTTTCAGGAATCAAGATTCAAGCAACTTCTCGACCCAGAACTTACATTTTGTTCCAACAATGCATGGTTACATAAGCATATAATTAACACAGTCTAGAACAGAAAATTCTCATGCTGCTCATGGAAGTGCTAATGCATGATTAAAAGGTGAAGTCTTGGGTGCAATTAGTGCATGAAAGTTAACTGGCCCATATAACACTGGAGGTTAGATGTGCAATTCAGGCACTGAATACTGATGGTGTGGCCACACATCATCGTAACTATACATTACATTCTAATGAGTATGCCTTTTAAGGATCGTTGGAAACAACTGTCTTCCAGATGGCTGTTGGTAGGAGACCATGTTCCAACAAAACTGGGACAATAAAGAGGCTGAGTGGATCAAGACCATGATAACAGATCTCTCCAGAAGTGATAGTCAAATTATTTAAAAAGTACTGTATATCTAATGAAGTGGCTAGGAGGATAAGAAGTTGTTGGGAATGTTAGCTGTGGACATGGAGAGTGTAAGCAGTGAATGTGACACAGAATGTGGAATTGTGAAGACAGTGAAGCTCAAAGGCTGGCAACTTAAAGAAGGAAACTACCTCAATAAATTCCCTGTATTACACATTTCCTAATATTTATTTCATTTCACACACTTGTAGTACTTACTTACTCATGGAGCTGAGTCCTTCTTGAGGAGCCACCAATTCTGCGGTTACTCAAGAACTTCCCAGCATTTTATGGAACCAGAAGGTTCATTACCATGTTCACAAGAGCCCTCCACTGGTCAATATCCTGAACCAGATCAATCCAATCCATACCATCCCATTCTATCTCTCTAAGATCCATTCTAATATTGTCCACCCACCTACGCCTTGGTCTTCCCAGTGGTCTCCTTTCTTTCTGGTTTTCCCACCAATATCCTATATGCATTCTTCGTCTCTCCCATCCATGCTACATGCCCTGCCCACCTCATCCTCCTTGACTTGATCATTCTAATTATACTTGGAGAAGAGTACAAGTTATGATGCTCCTCATTATGCAGTTTTCTCCAACCTCCTCTCACTTCATCTCTCTTCAGTCCAAATATACTCCTCAACAACCTGTTATCAAACACCCTCAGTCTATACTCCTCCCTTAATGTCAGAGACAAAGTTTCACACCCATACAGAACCACAGACAAAATTTTAGTTTTGTGTATTCTAATTTTTATGTTTTTGGATAGCAGATGAGAAGACAAAACGTTCTGGACTGAATGGTAGCAAGCATTACCCGAGTTCAATCTCCTCTTAATTTCCTCCTGAATCAGGTTTTGATTTGTTACTGTCGTTCACAAATATCTGAACTGTGCCACATTTTCAAAGCATCTGTTATGTATCTTTATGTCATGATTTTTCCCTGACACTTGTAGTAAGACTGAAATTAATTCATAAAATTATTTTGTCTGTGGAGACATGTTCCTTAGTGTGGGGTCATCTTACCTTCAGAATCATCTTCCATTTGGGTAAATATAGTAGCTCAATGAAAGTGGTTACCGTTACAAAGTATTACATTGAAAACATCAGTCTGGTAGAGAAAATTCTCATTCTTTTTTCAGTTCTCAGAATTCTTTCAAATCCTCATCTTGAACACATCTCAGACTAAAAAAAAGTTATTTTCGCATATGCCTATTAACTAACAACAAACTCTTATTTCAACAATGTGTAACTGGTGATCCAGACAGAAAATTCCTTTATTCTGAAATCTCTGAATAATTATGGACTCAATTCATTAACCCATTGTTATTGCACTTTTAATTTTCACTAAATTTGTACGTGATCTTATGGAAGTTCGTCACCTCACACATTATAGTAGATGAAAAACATGTAAAAATGGTACCATGAGTTTAAAAAATTTTACACTTACAATTTCAGCCTTTAGGACTAATGTTGAAAAAATTACATTTACATTCACTATACTGTCAGGAGAAATTAAAAATGTATTGAAACTTTGACTGTGACTCGATTTGCAAGCTATTCACTGTGGCAGTGCGGCAACGTTGGAAACAGTTATAAAGAAGCAAAGCAGAAACTACTGCGAGTTTTCTGTTGAAGGAGTCTTTTCTCATATGTACTTTTACTCGCTATTCTTCTGCTTTTGGCATCCTCATGGGCAAAAAAAAACAATGTAACAAAGAGAAATGTAGCTACGATTAACCTACAACTTGTAAACTAAAGCTCCAGTTGTGGTGCTGGACCACTCATGTGGGACCACTGAACTGTGCAAGGCAGCTAATGGAAAACTAGAGCGTTGTCAAGTTTAATTCTTCTCAAAGAGTACTTCAATAATTCAAAGGATAAAATTAAATTCATAGTTTGCATAAATATAATAAACAGCCACTTTACTTATATTAAAATGTGATTTATTACTTTGCATAAAAATTAATTTAAATTCAATATGTTTTTGTCCAGTTCAATTCATAGAGTATTCACTCCCAAAAGTTTTAATGAGTGACATAAATGACAAACGTAGCCAAAAAAAAGTGATAAAATAAAAAAATATGCCCACGTTAAAATTTAGGACTCTAACTGATCGCTTACATTGTTTCTGACTTCATTTAAGACATGCTAAGTGCAGATATTCATTACACTGGAATTTAAGCTACTTTTGTCTAAGACTCATCTCCTATACCAGTCCATGACCATTTCCCTCCAAATCCTTTGGATTCATCAATCCCATCATTCAACACTATACAGTCTAGATATTAACAGCATCAAAACCTGTAATAAAAGTATTCCTAGAATGGTTTAGGCAGAAACAGGCATTAAATATGCTAATTAGAGGCTATGTGTTGAGCTAGACAGCTGACTGGCCTTAAAATACTGAATTTGCATAAAACAGATGAACCGACTCATTTAAAAAACGTATACGGTTCAGCTACAGGACCATGAATGGGCAGACCAGAAATGTTAAGGAACACGAACCAGAAACCATCCTTCCTGGATGAATACAACATGAAGGATGTATTTAATGCAGCAGAATGGGTTTTCCAACACAAGTATCCTGGACAAAACATACTTCAAGATGAAAACAATAATGAAAGGAAGAAAACTTAAGACAGAATTAATGTTCTTGTATGCACAAGAAAACTTAAGATAGAATTAATGTTCTTGTATGCACAAATATGGATGGAAATCAAGAGGTCAGAGAAGCCCAGGTGCCTGAAGCATGTGAAGTCACTGCAAGGTACATCCAGAAATAATGGTGGCATATGGATGACCTGTGTGCTCTTCTTGGAGCTACTGACAAGCTAGAAAAGAAGAACGGCTACCACAAACCAGAAAATACTACTTTCTGCAGATTAGTGTACAGCACAGCCCTGAGGCGGTGTTCATTAAGTGTACATAAGTGAAATTTCTGCCAACCGACACTATGTCAGTTCTGGAGCTAGAGGATCATAGAATAACCAGGGCTTTAAAAGTAGGATATGAGAGGCAGCTAGAATATATGTTCCTAACAAAAATCACAGCCACCAAAGAGAGCTATAAAATATTACTGTTTGATGTCACATTCCTGTTGGCAACATCACAGAATGCCAACATTCAGGAGAACTATGTAAAATTGTCTGGGATGGCATGATTCTGTGACAGATCAAACCAGCTGGAAGAAGATAACACAGAAGAAGTCCATGCACTTGGGAATATGTTACAGAAAAGATAAGTGTGACATTCACATCTGACGAGTGAGTAGGGTGATGACGTTCTTTCCTCTGCTTTCTTAGCAGTTTTTTTCATGAGACAGACTCAACCGTCAAAAATCTTTGGACACTGAAGAAGTATTTTCAGACCAGAAGTAAAACAAATCATGCTTGCCATATTTGAAAAATCAGAACAGATTCTTATTTTAAACAAAGATAGTAAGAACATGTAATGTATACTTGAAAGCCTATGCATTTGGTATGTGATTTTTAACAATTTTATTCAGTCTAAAACTGTCAGAGTGTAATATAATGTGCAAATTAAGGTTTTGCAATTAGAACACATATGGAAAGACTAACTTTTGGCAAAACAGTATAGTATGTAAATAAATTTATAGTCTGAGTCTGATTCTATCAATAAACAATCCATGCTCTAAATTAGACATCCATACTCATTAAAACCATTAGTTTTTCTACAGGGGGGAAAATTAACTTTGGAAACATTCTGAAGTCCATTCCGTCAAGATGTTTTCTCACTTAAGTTTAAACTGCTTGGTCCCTTGCAAAAAGAGAGAGCTCTACTGTACTATGAAGTTCAATTTCTTGGTGCATGCCCATGTTGATTCATCCCAGTTCTCCAACAGAGAGTCTAGATCCAGTGAACCACAAGTCTACTCAACAAACATTATCCTTACTATTTACTCTGCAGAAACTAGAAGTGAAATCAAGGTCATATGGCACATACCATAATCTTTTGTATAACTCAAATGGGAGAATCTATGCAGTTCAATATCTACTTATGTGACAATTTTTCATTCATCTATAAAGATGTACTACTACTTACTCTCCAAAACTTGAACTTCTTTTGCGCTTCAGTGTTGATGTCTGGACTTCTGGCTCTTCTTGAAGAGCTTCCATCGATCGCCGCTTTCTGACACTGGTGGTTGTGGGGGAGGATGGGACCAGCTGTTTGGTAACAGTCCTCTTCCTTATACAAGATGAACACATGGACTTTCCACTACTGTGAGCACACTTGCACACAGCCCTTTCATCCTGAAGTTGCTGATGTGCTGCATATGTCATCACAATATATGTGTCACTCTGTGTCAGGGTTTTCAGGACAAGCGAAGCTTGGTCACGATGGTAAAGAGCAACATATGCAGATGTGTTGCTGAGCCATGCAATGAACACACCACCTGCAAATAATTCACATGTAATGTCCAAAGCTGTCACACAATCTACAAGCAGCTGAAAACCACCCAAAAACTGTGACATTACAGAACTGAACCTCAACTTTCTGATGCAAAATAGTCATGTTGAAAAGACAGTATTCAAGGACAGCATGCTAATTATTTTCCATTAAAAATTTGTGATGTTTATACACTACATTGCCAGTGAATAAGTTCACTGGAACCGGGAACATATGTGTTTGAGCCACTGAACCCATTCCCTTTTTCAGCTAACTAATTTAATTATACTGGACATTATTCACTGTTTCTGGCATATTTGAGACACACAACATATTGGGAATTGGCAGAACTGTCTTCTTCAGATCATTCACTCTGTAGTACAGCAGAAGTTCATAAACATTTTAGAGGACATATTGCCTCCATCTTCAGGATCAAAGAGTAAGTCAAGCAAGAAGTCAACAAGGAGAAGGTGGCAGGAAGAGGGCAGCTAATTCTGTCATGTCATCTTCCTCCTCATTTATTTAATCACACTTTCCCTCAGCTGTTTCTGATTTGCTGTCAAGAATTCAATCTAGTTTTTGCCAATGTGTTGTCTTTTGAAATTTGTGATGTTATATTGGTGAAGTGTGAAAGCAGAGATATGAAACTCAAAATGCACATTAGAGAAATATAAACAGAATAAGCTAGCAATGTCTGCTTCTGATATGCCCATTCTTTCTGTTCCTGGAAGACAAGAACCAAAGCATAATTGGGAAGAAGCAGTGATCATACAGGATGGCACATGAAATGATTCAGCATTTGATCTATTAATAAAATATTTATTTCAATTACAATACTAGAAATTAACATACAAAAAGGAAGACCACTGCACGGATATGACCACCATTACATCTGGCAACTTCTTCAACATCAACTGTGATGCTGTTGATTACTCAATTACATGTGCCCTCAGGTATCTCGCTGCAGACCTGAATAGTTAGTGCTCTCAATTCCATTACTGTTTCTGGCTTTTCCAAAAAAACTTTTCCTTAAGGAATCCCCAGAGAAAGTAATCACATGGGTTTAAATTGGGGCTATTTGGGGGCCAGTTCTGTCCACATGCAAAACAATCACAATTCTCTCCACTGCATGAAGGTGGTTGTTTTGTGGACATGAGGGAATTGATATAAGATCTGACTATACAGAGACTAAATCCATGGGACTCCCCTGCTATTTATTTATTTCATATAAATTAATTTTCAAATTCACTTCCTGACTTTTAAAAGAATACTGTACTACTTGCATGAATGAGAATGTCTTATAACAAAAACTTCTTTATGTTAAGAAAAATCACTGGTACCTCCAATTAATATTATGTATATGTAAAAATGACACTGACCAGGATAATGTAGCATATATTCCCATGCAGCAGTACCAGTTCAAATATTACAAGTAAAAGTATAAAAAGTAAAGATATCTCTGTAATAGGCTTTGGAAGCCCACAGGGTTGTGAGATGTTGAGGTTCCCACAGTTTGTAGACAATTGGCTCATAGATGGTAGCAAGGTTGTCAGTCCTATGCGCCGGCCACCCTTTACCCCCAAGAATATTCCAAAACCAGTTCAGAAATCATTGATAAAAGGAAAGGCGACCCATTTCACAGTAAACTTACAGAACTAGAAGCTTTCTGTGTTACAAAGGTAAACATTGCTGTTTCCAAACAAGATGCATTCATTTGTACTTACAAAATATTAGGTGATTGGCCATACCTAGAACCACCCAGTAATACTGCATATGGACAAGTTGGTTCAACTTTTTTAACTTCATGCATTGAAAGCATGCAATAAATCGAGGAAAAAGACTTTCATGCATAAAGGATAATGCGTAATAAGCAGTTGGTTTCCAGCACAAAAAATTGTAACTATAAGAACATTTTTAACTTCCCAGTTCACGCAACTTCTAAAGATGCTGAGAGTATTAAACTGTTTCTTACTTTCATCTCTCTGTAATAACCATTTCAAAGATTACATTCGAGTACTGCTGTATGTACATTAATTTCTTTTTTTAAACTTAGTGCTGCACTATGGTGGTACCGCTCTACATAATTATATTATCTTTTTTTTTAATCTTAGTGCTGCACTATGGTGGTACCTCTCTACATAATTATATTATCTTTTTTTAAACTTAGTGCTGCACTATGGTGGTACCTCTCTACATAATTATATTATAATGATGCAACATGAGATTATGGTAACACTGTGTGCCAACAGAGCACCACAGAAGTTGACTGAACATACACTGAAACCACAATGTACGTTTTCTCTGAGGAAAAGTAGATCTGAACATCAAACTGGAGAATTTTTAAGTGGAGGTAATTTATGGCTTAGATTATTGACTTGGGATCACTCAAATTTAATGTTAAATGAGGGGAAATTTTAAATCTTAATTGAGGTTTCCACAACATGGTACTAATTCTATGGGTAGGTGGATATGCTATCAACAGTCTCCCTACTGACACCTCTCCTTCATTCTCAAGAAAAATGGTTATTTGGAAGCGCTTCCTGAAACCTGCATTTTTTCAGTATTGGTACTTATGATTGGACTATGCTGAATTGTGCAATGGGAGCCCTTTGTACAGGTAATAAGAACAAAGGAGATGAAATTATGTACACTAACCATTTTTTGAAAGGAGCACCCCTTAAAATAAGCATTTTTATGTATTTTGTAAATCCTTAATACCACCTTCTTTTAATGAACTTTAAGTCACAAGATAGCATATTATTACAATTTTCAAAGAAATTAATCCAACTTACCAAAGGGGCTGAAAAGCTGTGTAAGGTCATAAGTTTTCCACTCTTTTGGAAAGCTGACAAAGAAAACATGATCACGGGATACTATAGCTGAAACAATGAAAGATATACATGTATTAAATGTTAATGTTGATTTTTCAGTAGCACAGCAATGATGAACCAATGCAGACTACATACTTACGATCTTTACCAACAAGATTGATGTAAGGGGAATCCTGCACTCTTACAAGAAACAACCTACGGCCAAAAGAAAACATATTTAAGAATTAAAACCATGTTTATACAATTTAGCTGGTTATCATCCTGAATATCAGGTATAAACAGTATATATATATATATAAATTTGTGCAAATAAAAATATATTTCTATCTGACTCATGCAAAATTACTTCAAACTTAATAGCAATGACTTACTCCACTCCAATTTACATTAGTCCAATTCAGAATACATACTGCATCCTGTTTGTGGTGTTTACCAAGTACAATCCCCAACCCTGAAAACCCCTTATCTTTTATAATAATTCTCATTTTACACTATACTATTTTTAATTTTTAAATTAAAAATATATATATACATATACATGTCTATTTTTAAATTCTTAATACTTGAATTTTGTGGCAGCATGACTATATTACATAAAAGAGGAAGAAAAGGATATCAGAGCTTGATAAACTAGTGTCCGAACAACCAATTAACTAAGCTTGAGAAGCTAGCAGTTGCTGAGCTACTCAAGAAATATCCAGCATTTTTTGGTACCTGCAGGTTCATTACTATGTTCAAACAACAGCCCATCACTGGTCCCTATTATGATCCATACGAATCTGATCCACACCTTTCTATCCTGTTCCTTTAAGACCCACTTCAATATTATCCCCCCACCTACATTTAGGTGTTTCCATCAGTCTCTTTCCTTCCAAAACTTTATATTCACTTCTCTCTCAAGTGTGCTACATGCCTTGCCCAGCCCATTTCATCCACCTGGACTTGATCTTTGTAATAATATCTGATGAGTCCTCAGTGCCCTATTCTCAAACATCCTCAGTCCATGTTCTACTCTTAATGCGAGATATCAAGACCCATACATAGCGGTAACCAAAAATCTGGTCTTCTATTTTCATTTGTATCCTCTTAGACAGCACACATGTTACAAACAGATTCTAAATTGAGTGGTAAGAAGCACTCTCCACATTTAAACCCTTCCTAATTCTTCATGAATGCAGTTTTGTTCTGTGTAACTCCAAAATATTTGTACATTGCCATATTGTCAAAGAAACTATTAGCTATCTTTATGTCACAATTCTGCCCTTCATATTGGTGGCGAGACATCAACATAAACATCACTCCTTCTCCACTTACTTTCAGACCACCAAACTCTGGAATGGAAGAGAAAAGCTTGGAAACACAGACATTCAGTTTCACATATCCAATCTGTCAGTTTGTACATAAGTAAATGCCCTGTCCTTGGCTATAATTTCCTTGACATAATAATGTGGTTATTGTCACAGTGGTATGAAATGCTATACCTCATTATTACTTGAAGTAAAACTGAACATATCAAAATGTCTTACTTGTTCAAATATGGATTAAGAAGGGGCGATGAAGAGAGTACTGGATACACTTTCGGGTTCTGCAGGGAGCCTGTAAAATAAAACATTAAATTTTTAAGAGCTTCTCTTAATGGTAGTTATGAAAACTATGCAGAAAATGTTGAAGTTTTACATAGTCTTACTTAACTGAAAAATATATAGCAACCATCTTAGTTGTATATTCATGTATACAAACATGTCTGTATGCACAAGTTTCATGACTAAAGACAGTACACTTTATGAAAACAGCTCTTGAACAAAAAACATGATGTAGCTGTATTAAATAACATTTCACTGCTCATGCTGAAAAAGACATAAAATGTTTCAACCATAGGATATCAGGAACCAGAGTTTATTCAAGGTCTACAGATGACAATATACTCCAAAACAGGATAAAAACTTCGTGACCCTTCAACATGATTATCTATTACATTTTTTTAATGAAAAGAGATGTTTGCTGGACTCAAAAATCACTTCCTTACACACTAAGCCTGGTTTTCTATATTAGAAACAAATCTTTAGGTTTTCTCTGGGTTCAAAAGCCATGTATATTAAAAAAAGTTTTTGATGGCACGGTGTTCTGAAGTACTGGAACCCTCTTTCCATGCTACATTCTGTCAGAACCCAGAAGATGGAACATGAACATTCTAAAAACATGATATCTTGGAATGAAAAAGTATTTTATTGTTCACCTTACACCTTTCTTCACAACACAATTATACAAATACAGAATTCTAAAATTTGTCATAGAACATTTCTGGTCTAGTGGTCAGTGCTTCTGACCACGGATCCAGAGGTTCAGGTTTGATTCCCAGCACTACCAGATTTTCTGATTAGTAGTGGGCCCGGAATAGGGTTCACTCAGCCTCGTGAGGATAAGTGAAGAGCTACTTGAATGGAAAAGTAGCAGCTCCAGTATAGAAAACCCGAGATTAATGGCTTTCATTATGCTGTCATATTACATTACAGAATAAAACAATGTAACAACCACCTTAGGCACAGGAAGAATAAATGGTGAAGGCACAGAGTGTTCTCAAGTGAAGAGAAAATTGCAAGAGGAGGCAGAAACAATAACACACCTTTTATTTCCTACATATAAAAGAAACTGTTCAACTGATTTTCTTTTACAATAGATATTCCAAAACAAGGTTACGATGATTCACACATGTATAGATGCCATGCTGATGACAGCGAGTTACCTAAGTGATTGGCCATTGTAATAAAACAAAGGCCAGTAACGTAGGCATCATAAGCTGCTTCATGATACTTGTCATTCAAGGTGTTGTATCCATGTCCCTCTTCCTCAGACTCTGAAAACAAACAAGACAAAATATAATACACTACAGTTCTTATTAGTGACTGACCAACATAATAATTACCAGTAATATATGCAACGTAAGTTGCTTCAGGATGCTGCTCATTCAAAGTAATGTATCAATGTCCCTCTTCCTAAGAGGCTATAAATAGCAAATACAAGATAACACTGTATATGGTAGTTCCCATTACTGACCTCAACTTAATCCTCACTCTAATTATGCAGCGGACCTTTGATATACCGCACCTTGTTATACTGCGGACTGAGATAAACTGCAGTGGTATTCATGTCCCCAATAAAATTATACATGTTTTATGTGGTATAAAGTTCTATGAAATATTTTGGTTACAGTACAGAACTGTTATAAAATATTCCTTGCTCTAGTTTGCAGGTACAAAGAGTAAAGTCCTCGGCCTAGTATAAATATCTATGTTCCTGGTTTCTGTAACATGACTATATTTGTATTAAGGTCTGTCTGTCAATTTATCTTTATTCCTGTTGCTCCCACTTGGAGCATAAGGAATCCATGAAACACTTCTGTTTCACTTCAGTTCCTTAATCTTAGACAGTCAGTAGGTCTCCTTGGAACAGTGATCAGTCTGTTGCAAGGCCGCTACCTACACATAAACACAGAATAAATGCAAACATTAATGCCTCGAGTGGGAGTCAAACCCATTACCCCAGTGTTCAAGCGACCAAAGACGTTTCATGTCTTAGACAGAGCAGCCACTGTGATTGGATGCATGAAGACATAAATGCAAGTAATTTTGTGGTCTGTGCCAGTAACACTGGTGTAATGTATGTCTGAAATGTGCCTTAAGTTTCATGTAGTTTAGTTGCTGGATAAATATACACATGAAAAAGTAAAAGCTAAGCTATCCCTGTAACAGGCCGTGAAGGGCCATAGGGTTGTGAGACGTTGAGGCTCCCACATTATCTAGACAATCAGCTCAAAGATGGTGGTAAAGTTGTCAGCCTTACGCGCCGGCCACACTTTAATCCCCAGGAAAATTATTTAATTAATTCCTGGTACTCGTTTCTGTTAGAGGCTGAGCTGACCACAGGGCCATAGTGTGGCCGGAAGGATTACGTCACTTGGAAAAATCCAATGACCTCATTGGGACTTGAACCCGCGACCTTCCAGCTTGTTGCAAAGTGTCTCAACCAACTATGCTACCGCGTAAGTTTCAATTTCATATAAGGAAGAGCCAGTATGGAAGTAAGACAGCTGTAATGGATGTAATAGGTTTTCTATGTGTATCACTAGGTAGCAGCACAGTCCAGCTCCACGAGTCTTGGCAGCAGATGTGCATGCCCGTGTTCAGAGGCTGGTTTCAGTAGTCAAAATGCTGACCATGCTTGAGGACTGTTCTATCAAAGAGCAGCGTTCTTTTTTGCGTTTTTGATGAGCAAAAGGACTCAATAAAAAGCATATTCATGAAGATATGTTTCCTGTTTATGGTGGGAAGTGTTTATCATGTAAAGTGGTTCAGAACTGAGTTGAGAAATTCTCTCAAAGATATTTGAAAGTTGCAGACAATGCCCAACCAGGCTGCCATAACCATAAGAACCTCATATCTCACATCATCTTACTATTTGAGATACAAAATTTGAGCCTTTACACAACAGCCCATTTTCTGAGATACAGGCAACACACATTAAATTTCTGGAGTTCACACCTTCCACTGGCATTATTACAGGGAAGTTCATTACTTCTTTCAAAATCTGTCAATGGTAGCAACCAGTATCAAAACTGAATCCTTGGCATAATAATTTGTATGGTAACTGACATACTATATTGTAACTGTAGTACTGCTGCTATGCAACAATCATGATAAGGAACATGAACTGCTTGGTAATGGCTTGGTGAACACATTTCCATGAAAATCAGATACACAACAATCCGGTTACAATGGAAACTCAGGTATTTTTTGTTGGGTCCACTCTGAGGCTTATATAGCGAGGGTCCCCAGCTGGCTGAGCAGTTCCGATGAGTGAAGCGGAATGAAGTAGTTGGTGAGTGAGTTAATTAGCTGAAGGTTGGCAGTTATGAAGAGTTTTGTCCAGGAGACTGTGAAGAAAATAACTGCAAGAGTGCAGCTGTGAAAAGAAAATCTATGTGTGACATGTGGAATGTGTAATTAAGTGAGACTACCAGTTCCTGTGTTAAAATTCACTGGCAGGAAAAGACTGCAACAGACTGATGACACTATAAGTGTGTGTCAGTGATCTGTAAAGTGCAGTTCCCAGTGGTATATACAAGTGGTCAATAAATCCAATATCCAATCAATACCCTGTCTACAGTCTCACCCCAAACACATTACAATTTTAAGCACAGGGTTGTCTGAACAGGAGCAGCTACTAAAGTTCTGTTTCTCTGGAAAAACAGGCTCAGTAAGACAGTAATTATTAAAATATATTTTTTTAAGAATGATTACCACTTACTTGCTATACACATCTTGAAAGGCTCTTCAGATAAGGTCTTGTACATATGGCCCAATATGTTTGAGCTCATACGATTCTTGAATAGCGGTAAATCTGACATATACTTTGTATCCAGGACCTTAGGGAATACACAATTCACCATTTCCTTAAATTCTGAATAGTCTTCAGGTAATGGGAAGTAGCACCGATTGATCACATGACATACATCAAGTAGCATGTTATGTCCAATTATTAGCTTCCCCTGCAACATACATGCACACATAAACAAAGTTCTTATACATTCAACCACTGGCAGCTCACTAAATAGTACACCTAGTTTCAAAAAGCTGGTATCTACCTTATGTTAATATTTCATGTACAAGTGTTGGATAAAAATTAGTGGCAACACTGCTGTAACAGGAAAGATGTGCGTCAGGTGGCACTAGTGCCGTCTGTAGCTGAAAGCAGAAGTTTAGTTGAAGTAGTGCAGTGAGTGGCTCTGGTTGTTTCATTGAGTTGTATTGTGCCAATATTGTTCAAGTGCCCTAAGAACATGTTTACAAAACAAGAACAAAGCTCCTGGATAAAAATTGAAGTTCCACGAGGTCGTAGTGCACAAAACTGTTATCAGGGACTGCGAAAAGCATGTGGTGATGCTGCTTTGCCATATCGCACAGTGGCACGATGGGTGAAACTGTTCCGTGAAGGGAGGGAAGCCATTCAGGATGACCCCATGTTGACAACCACACAATTCAGCTTCTTGCCTCTTTGCTGAATGTCAATTGTCGATGGCCTGCGTGGGAGTAAGCTGCTGAGGTAGGCATACGTCACAAAGCCATGCTCGACATTCTGCATGATATTCTTGGATATCGCAAAATTGCAGCGCGCTGGGTATTCCATACAATGTCTGAGGTGCAACAATGGCAACGTTATGCAATTGCACATGACTTGTTGGACTGGTACCAGAAGGAAGGTGATGACTTCCTTGGATCATCACTCTGGACGAAACTTGGGCTCGCTCATACGAACCGCACTTGAAGCAACAATCAAATGAATGGAAGCATCCTGGGTCTCCTCATCCAGGGAAAGTGTGCCCTACAGAGTAATTTGAAGGAAATGTTCATTGTGGCATATGACACTGATGGTGTGATAATGCACCACACTGTACCTCAACAGACACTAAATGCTGCCTACTACTGCAATTTCCTGCGTAATCATCTTTGTCCAGCACTCAGGAGAAAGCGATGACACTTGCTGGCAACGATCCCCATCATCCTTCATGAAAATGCATGGGCTCATACTGCTGACGCTGTCAAGGATCTCCTTCACTGCTGGTGATGGGAGGTACTACATCATCAGCCATACTCACCCGATATGAGTCCGTGCAATTATGATATCTTTGCCAAAATGAAAGAACCAGAGTGAGGGTTACGTTACAACACAAGAGTAGATTATTTGTGCTGTAGGGTGGTCACTGCTGGACATCAACAGAAGTGGACGCGCTGATGGTGTACGACGCCTTGCACAAATTTGGCAGGTGGTGGTACACATGGGGGGCGATTATATTGAAGGAATGTAAGTGTGTTTACCTCAAGTAATAAAGTCATTTCAGAAAAATAGAGGTGTTGCCGCTACTTTTTATCCAACCTATGTATAATGAAATGAATCTATATAGAGAAGTTCACAGACAATAAATGACCTTCAGAATAAGAAACCAACCAAGAGGTAAACATATATCTAAAAGTGGTCAAGTTCCACATTTCAGAAAAAAATGAAAACAATAGAACTGCTTCTACTGCTTAAGAGCAATTCTTGAATTTCACAGACACAAGTATACATCCAAGGAAAAATGCACATAAAATCATGATGTAAGATTGCCAAAAAGTCACTCTGGGGTTTAAGATAGCTATGTCTTCTTAAGCATTATCTTTTCAGGCATTATCTGCTAGAATGCATCTAAATTAGTCAACTGTTCAGTACACATATGATATGCCCCACCAGCAGAAGTCAAAGGAGGTTAACTTTGGTATTCTCAGAGGCTACTTGATTGGAACTCCATTCTCCATCCAAAGTCCTCTCATTGAGGGCAAGATGACAAATAGTGTCACTGTAAGGATGCAGTGCACTTTCTTATTGAAAATTTTCAACTTCTGCAGAAAAAGCAGTTCTCAAGGATATCAAAACAACTACTTTCAATAATCATTGCCTAAGAAAGAAAGGTCCTATAAACTGTTGTAAAGTAGGCTGCAGCACGCATAATTTTCAACACAGAACATATTGCTTTGCTGCTGACACAGATTTTTTTTTACTTAACCTTCACTTCAGTGTTTTTCTTCCAATAATTACATATTGTAACATTGATGGACAGAGCGTTGCTAGGTAACTGGCCATTAAACACCTTGCGACCAAATACACTCAAGGCAACAACGGAAGTACAGCATCTTCTATGCAGTCAGCACCATGACCGCTGCTATGCAACGTTGAGGTAAACACTTCTCTACAACTATACAGGCTGTTCTCTGTGCTTGGTTGGTGCGGAGGCTATATAATGAGATTCCAGGAATAACTAAGGCAGTGTTTCAGTGTTTGAGAGTGTTCAAGTGTTTAAGTTACAGTGGGAGAGCTCTTGGTTTTAATAGAGCCACGGAGAGTTCCATTGCGTGTGATCTGAAGACTTCATGTGTGCTCTAGTGCAGTGGTATTGGGTGTGTGTGATTTAAGGATACTCTTATAGTTTCCATGTTATAAACCCATGAAGACTACTGCAGACAGACCGAGAAGATTAGGGTGTAGTGATTGTAAATTGAGTAAATCAGTTAAGAGTGTTACAATTAATTGTAGTTACGACCTGCACGTTGTTAATAAAACCAATTACCAATCCAGGTCTGTCGCATAAAACGTTACAATATGATTATATGCAGACTCCTAAAGCCCTGGGGTGAACACACTTAACATTAAAAACACATGACAAATGTTTAGGAACAACTGTAACAAATTAAAATCACATTAATGAAAAAATCAGTAGCACATTAAATCCAGTGGAACCTCTGCTACCATTCAATTAAGAATCTTCCAAACTCCTAAGAATCTAAAAACAAAAATAAAGATTTTCTTGCTGTTTTGTATGAATGATCAGCTGACTGATCAACCATCCAACTCCATGCATCTGAATCCTTCTTGAAGTGAAATAAGAAGGTTCGTTACCATGTCCACAAGATCCTGCCACTAATCCCTAACCTCAGCCAGATGAATCCAGTCCATACCACATCATCCTATTTCTCAAAAATCCTTTTTACTATTATCCTCCCACCAACTTTTAGGTCTTCCTGGTGGTCTCTTTCTTTCTGGCTTTCCCACCAACACCCTGTATGCATTCCTCTCCCCACGAGAGCTACAAGCCCTATACGCTACATCTGATATGCCTGGACTTGATTGTTCTGATTATAATTGGTGAAGAGTAAAAGTTATAAACTTCTTCATTATGAATTCTTCTCCAGTTTCCAATTATTTCTCCACTCCTTGATGCAAATGTTCTCTGCAGCACCCTGTTTTCAAACACCCTCAGTCTAAGTTCTTTCTATATTGTGATAGACCAAGCTTCACACCCATACAAAATTGTAGTCTGTATGTTAATCTTCAAGTTTTTAAACAGCAAATGAAGAGTCAAGCTGTTTTGTAAAATTAATACTGTGCTTAACTAAATAAGCACTATGCCATGAAGATGTATGGGGAAGTGGATGTATAGATCCATGTTCGCTTGACCTCGGCACTAGTTGGTGATGTGTGTTCAGATTCATACCCACGAAAAAGGCCACCAACACCCATTGGATAGGAGGATGGGTGGGCACCAGAGTTGGTCTGGAAGCTGTGAAGACAAAATTCTTGACCCTAGCAGAACTCAAACCAAAACCCCTCAGTTGTCCAGCCCACAGCCAGTTGCTATACCACTGTGCTATCCCGGTTCCTCAATCTGTTTTGTAGACATATAAAACTTAAACCCGAAAGGGAAAGTGAGGGAGGGACAGGAGTAGCAGCAGGATGATGATGAAAACTGCGTAACTGAAAAGCTTCCTAATTTGAAAACTTCAACAATAACTTTTACTGTGATAAGAGGCTGACATGGATGTGACATGTAGCATGAATGAGAAAATGGGAAATTCAGTCAAAATATTATCTGGAAAACATGAAGCAAAGGCAATTTGGTACATGTGGCATAGATATGAGGTAAAGGTATGGACTGGGGGCTTACAACAGCATGAAGTACTGGGATGCTGTGAACATGGTAGAGAAGTTTTGGATTTCATAGCAGCCAGGGAGTTTCTTCACCAGTTGAGTTACTATCAGATTCTGAGAAGGACCCTACTTCTTAAAGGCCATGTGCGTGCTCCAAAATTTGGCACTTCCTGGTACATAATAAAATCACCCCTCCAGAGATGAGCAGACCTCCCCAAAAAAATTGTGGGGACTCCCAGGTAAAAAAAAAAAAACTGGAAGAAGTCCAAGCATCTATTGCAAGTTGCTTCATAATTAACAATCATCAAGATCAAAACAGTATGAAGAATGCTAGGAACCTAAAACCAAAATCGGAGGTGAGTAAGAAGAAAGCCAGTAATAAAATACAGGGGCATTACAAATGATTCATTCCATTTCAAAACACTACATTTTCCAAAGTATTACACATACAAATGTGACTGATACATGAAAAGAACCATAAACTCACCCAAATTACAAATGTTTTATTTATGCCCCGTTGGTCACGATGACACATATCCAAACATTTTGCAGCACTCCCTAGTCAATGGTCTTCACAGCAGCATTAATGCATTCCCTGAGCTCTACCAGTGTTGTTGGTAGTGATAACTGGTGTATCATGATGAAACTTGGTAAGTTTGTGGTTCTATTCATGTATCAATCATATCTGTATGTGTAATACTTTGGAAAATGTAGTGTTTTGAAATGGAATGAATCATTTATAGTAACCCTGTATAATGGAACAGGTTATTTAGCCAGGCTTCAATTTCTGACTTCCTGTATCAATAGTAAAAATCTCATGCAGAGGAATGTACAATTGGAATAAATTAGGTCATAAGCTTCACATCAAAATCATGCAGCACAGTACTGGAATTCAACTGTTTTGTGAACACTAAATTCATACATAAATTCAGAACATCGAAATATTTAAAATTACAATGTTAAATTATTAAGCAGTTTTTCTACTTTTTATGTCCTTAATCCTAATAAAATCTACTGAACGAACATTTCATTTTTACTGCCAACAGAGAAACTGCTTGACCTTGCTGGTAGTATTATTTTAGTGCATCAAGTTTATTAAGCATCTCTTCTCTGATGCCTTAATTGCATTAAATAGACCAAAAATGTACAAAATTGGAAAGGGGTTTATGTTTGTTAAGAGGAAACCTTCATATAACTGGGAATATTTATAAGAAATTAAAATGTTCAATACTCATAGTATTGGCATTATATAAGGGATTACTAGAAAGCGTGTGCATTAATCTGCTGCATAAATGTGATACATTAACATGTATTTGTTAACTTTTGCTAACCAGAAAGTATGCTGTAACAAGCTACAGAAGTACTTAAACTCGAGTTTCTCTTGTGGAGAGAATGTTTCTGTGCTCACATCCAGTTGCATTCATTGAATGATATATGATGTGAATGCTAACGAAAATGTATATGTTAACATAAACCAACCGACTGTGAGATCTTTTTCAAAACTAAACTGAAGCCAACAGCATCTTCAAGATCCTGCAACTCCTTGTCCCTTTTTTCTTTCTCTCTCTTCTTCCTCTCTTCAGGGCTTCCACACCGTGTCACAACCAGGACACGATTCCTGCCCTCTGTCACACGTGATTCTAGCTGTACTGCATTACTATCAAACCGGTGATGCACTGTTTGGAAGATGAGTTTCCGAACAAATGCATTGCAGCGATCCAATTCCAACTCCTCTGGCTCTGAACTTGCCAAAAAGGCCTCAATACGAGAGCTGCAGGAAAAGGGAGAAAGTTTAATAAATTGGCTTATATCATGCAAAAAAAGACAACATCAAGTAAGTCCAACTCACTGGATGGTTAGTTTATATGTTATTTAACAATGCTGTATCAACTTGGGTAATATCTGTACACATAAATAAGATCATACTGAAACAGACTGATCTGATATAAAAACTTGCTACCAATGATATAATGACTTTGGCAAACGAATGTATTTATACCTTCCTCTGAAGATAATTTACAATACCGGCTTACAATTTAACTTTTACTGTATGCATTTAAATCTCCTGCTGAATTTGGAAATAATGAGATTAATATTGTAAACAATACAATGCTATGCTGGGAGCAGCACATGGACCAACACACCTGTGCAAAAAACCTACAATGAAGGTCAGCCAATAACGCCTCATAACAGCCTACACAAATAAACCCAAAAAAGAAAAAAACTAAGAACTCCGTGGCCAGCACACGCACCAACATATCTGTGCAAAAAACCTACAATGAAGTTCAGCCAATAATGCCTCATAACAGCCTACACAAATAAAAACCAAAAAAGAAAAAAAAAACTAAGAACTCCGTGGCCTGCAGTCCACAAGCGAACTATACCGACTGAGCAACCGTTGCTTGTCAGTAAAGTTAGTGCCAACTTTTGCAGATAGAGGATGTCGCATGGTCAACACAACAGATCCCCACGGCTGTTAATGTCAGTTTTCTAGACTGGAGCTGCCATTTCCTTCAAATAGCTGCTCAATTAACCTCATGAGGCTGAGTGGACCTTGTTCCAGACCCACTACTTCTCAGAAAATGTGGCAGTGCCGGGAATCGAACCCAGGACCTCTGGCCACTAGACCACAGAGGCGGTCACAGCCTACATGAATGCTGGAAAAAGTTATTAGAGGAGAAGACCCAAGCTGAGATAAAAATAGAAACTTATGAGCATTACTTGTAATTATCTGGGGGCACGTGGTAGCGTAGTTGGTTGAGAGGCTATGCTACAAGCCGGAAGGTCATGGGTTCAAGACCCAATGAGGTCAATGGATTCTTTTCAATTGACCTAATCCTTCCAGCCGCACTAGGCACTGGGGTTTACTCAGCCTCTAACAGAAATGAGTACCAGGAATTAATTAAATAATTTTCCTGGGGATTAAAGCATGGCCAGCGCATAAGGCTGACAACCTGACCACCATCTTTGAGCCAATTGTCTAGATAATGTTGGACCCTCGTCTCACAACCCTGTGGACCTTCACGACCTGGTACAGGGATAGCTTTACTTTTTTTTTACTTGTAATTATTTATAATTTAATACATTTTACTAACATTTAACGGCTGTGTGGCACATTATTTGTGACAGCGACCCCACATTCCAGATGGTCATTTATTCCAATACAGCAACACTAAAATACACTTTCATTTTGAACCAGCCTAAAACAGGTGCTACACAGAAATTTTCTTCACTGCTCTATATTGACTTCCATTATGCTTTCCTGCTGTGTTATTTATAAATATCAATCCTAGAAGAAACATTCTTAGCCCCAAAACATCTGAACAAGTCAAAAGGAAGACTATAAACACAAAACAGTTTTCTTGTGTGTCTGTACTTGGTTGGGGGTATGACACACAAAGCATTAAACTACAAAATTTCACTTGTAGTGTTGTGTGCGCTATGCCATGAAAAGCATGAATGCTGATCCACGTTTGTGCATCTACCGCGTAAACTTCTAAACCACAGTTCTGACACTAAAGTGACAGGAAAACATTTCCAGAAATCTAAGTGTTGAACATCTGTACTGACATGAATAATATTTTGCTTTATTTCAGGAATCTGCAATATTATTCTAATAATCACTATATTCATAACAAATACATAATTTAGCACTGCACTTTCATCTGAATACTTTTAACTAGAATACTTCAAAGAAATTAATTTTCTTTAATACTCATACCATTACTAGTTGCCCCCTCTTTCCCTCCCCAAAAATGACTGCAGCAAACACCAATCATAAATATATTTTTTAAACTATATTTTCACATAAGAAATTTTAAATCAACTACAGATGCATTTTGTTGTGTCACCTACCTAGATCAAATGAACGAAATCCCTGCAAGAAGCTGACACTCACCAGCAGAAGGGTGGGGAGACCCTGCATAAGGTGGCCTGATAGTGATGAAAGAGACTCAAGAACTCTCCAGATTAGAAACTGGAAGAAAAAGGTACTGGAATGGGCCAGCAAAGAGGCACTGTTGTGGTGGTCAAGGCCTGTTACAAGCTGTAGAACCAACCATCCACGATGACAATGACGATGATGATAAGACACATCCAGCAGCACAGGAGCAGGGGCATGAAGGTAACCAGTCAGCTCCTTCAAGTGCCAAGGTCAATAATGGTGGAGCTATACCTCCACTCCCCCATATATCTTCATGATATGGTGCTTAATTAATTCAGCACTTGGAAAACTTTATCTTTTATTTTACTATAGACACACAACAATCAATTCATTCTTACCAAGCATCTTCAACTGCAGATACATATTCATCAGGAATAGGAATCGAGTAAGAATTTTCTTCTGTACCAGGAGAAGAACTGTTTGTATTGCTGCAAGATTTATGTTTTTCTTCCAGATGGTCTCGCAGTTTCTGTTCCTCTGGTTGCGTTAAGTAAGATATTCCTGGGTGGAATATACAAGAGAAGCAAAACCATGGTTTAATAATCAATGACTCTTACTGCATTAATTCACAATGTCATAATACAGATCATACTGATTCCTTTCTTATTTACCAACTTTCTTCATCTCCATGGGTCATATAGCATCACAAGAGTGTATAAGGAAGTAGTAGCAGGTTATTTTAAGATATCATTTACCTCATTAAACTAAAAAAACTACAAAAATCCTCAGTGACCAGCACTAGGGATAAGGACATCAAAAATACAAAGTAATAATGGTAACCGCTCAACTACAGTGTAATAAATGTCAATCACGAGTCTATTATTCAACGAACTGGATTTTTCTAAAAATAAATAAATAAAAAACTGCAAAATAAGTGCAAACAATGATGATAAACTCCCCCCATTTGGCAACCTATTCTTTTCATCATCCCCAGCATGTTGATGTTTTGTGATCCTATATCAACAATTAATTGTATGCACTGATTTTCGGTTATTTAAAACATTCTTTCAGTATGATCAAGAACACTGAAGCAGATCTAAGAAGACATGGCCATGGTCTTTTACCATTTTCATCAAAAATGGTCCATCTTACAAAAGCTGGTACACAGAATAAAATACAGATCACATCAAGATATACATCTGTGTTTCATGAAGTATAGTGGAATATTCAGAGTTGAGGGTACTGGAGACTGGCATAACAGAAAGTTGAGAAAAGACAATGTGTAATGAATTTTCTCAGTAGCTTTTGCTCTTTGAGCAATTCAAGAGTTCCAAAACCTTATTCCCTAGTAAAACAGTACTTCTTTCAACTAATTCTTTTTTAGATTTTTATAATTTACTGTAATAAGAAACTTCATTACACACAGTATTACAACTTGTAACAACTCTGTTGGATTTCTGGTTCTCATGGTGGTGACAGCAAAGGGAGCTGTCTTCTGAATTGCAACACCATGTAACTCGGAGACAGCCCAACATTTCAGAGAAACATATTGGCCCATCTTCATGATTGAAGAATATTCCAGGCAAAAACTGAGCAGAAGCAGGTGGCTAGCTGAGTTTCTGCTGGTTTCTTGCTTGGTTTACTCTTCAACTTTGAAGGAGGAGGGAGGGATATGTTCCTCCAAAACATCAGGCTCTCTCCTGATTGCATGGGGTTACAACCCAGAAGACCGTACTTTTTTTTAATAACTATGACCAAGCAAACTGGCTCAAGCAGTAGTGATTCTGAATTGTATTTGGGAGATGCCTGGCTCAAATCTTGGTTGGGAGAACTATTCTGATGGCTTTTGTAGTTTTCTCAGTACACTGGGGCAATTCCCAGGATAATACCTCAAGACCATTTCCTTCCACATCTTTTCAAATTCATTATTCACTAATCATCATGCTAGTCTGAAATACTGACAGCATCGTTAAACGAATATAATCACTTCAAGTTTTCATTCTGTTTTATTTCAAAGCATGTCATTTACAGCTATAATACATTACTACATAAAAAATTAACTATACTAACCCTCTGTGAATAATTTGTTAAAATCAAATCCTTGAGAAGCAAGGAAATCAATGCTAGAACTCTGGCACAGAAACCGTTGATCAGGTGATGACGGGACCTGTTGCTTTGGGAAAATGTAGAAATTGTATGCTCGATGCATATACCTGAAACAAGATGACTGCCATGTTTACTTCACAAACTGCTGCATGAAGCTGCACGAAGCCTCATTTCAGGGCACTGATCATGCTAATAGTGAACAGTGACCATTTTAATTCTATACTGTCATGCAGAATAGTGACTATAGATGGGGTTTCGACTGGTGAATAGATTTATTGACCACTAACAGGTTGCAACTGTAAATAACTATAACACTATTGCTGATTTCCACACTACAAATCGCTTCATACCCATGTATTCTCAATCTATTTTCACTAGTATTTACATGGTAACAGCTCTCCACAATGGTTATTCATCTGCAGTGTTTCCACTAGACATGTCCTGGTAATGAATCTTAGCGATGGAGACTCTTCAGCTTCTGCTGCCCGCTGGTTAACACTCCACAACTGAACCCATGACTCAACTGCCAATTATTGCTTACCTCTCATTATACGGATTTGGGACGGACCTCACGGAGAACATGTGTCATGTCAAAAATTTGTGTTTATTGGCCTGTTACCTAGCAATGGACATACGCGAACCACATAGAAAACACCTCTTCTGTTGTCAAGAATGCGTGTTTATTGGCCCATTACCTAGCAATGGATCTACATGTTACAAAAGATCGTGTCCGGATCAATAAAATAATTTTATCTCAGAAAGCATTTATTATACACATTTATGGGTTACACCATTACAATGGGAAACTATCAGAGTATTTTTCTGATTTTCTCAATAAATTTCAATGTGGGATCCCTTCATAGCACGACAAATATCTGGATGATATTTGCCCTCGTTCCACATTGCTTGGAGCAGGTTTGGTGTTACCATAGCCAGTGTCCCTTATGAGGGCTTTGAGGTGTTGAACATTGCTGATCTTAACCTTGTAGACAATGTTCTTCACATAACCCCACAAGAAAAAATCGAATAGGCTTAAATCTGATGACTAGGAGGCCAAGCAATTGGTCCACCTCTACTAATCCATCTCCCAACCACCTCTGTCCAGGTGATTCTTAACATGGTGGCACCTCATCTTGTTGGACAATAGTCTTGAGGTGGTAACTGGAACAGCACATACAGCTCCAGCCATGTCCAAGTGTGGACATCTGGTCACAGTCTTTTCCAAAAAGAAAAACGGTCCCATCAACTTGTCATGCATTAAGCTGGCCCACACGTTCGCTCTTGCGTTGCCTCTCTCCAACTCATATGTGATTGTGGATTCTGACTGCACCAAATCCTGCAGTTGTACCAGTTTACAACTCCACTGACATGGAACATCGCCTTGTCCAAGAAACACTCCTGGTGGAGTAAATTGGGTGATGCATCAATTCTTGGTAGCATGTCCACAGTGAAGTTTATGCATACTAGTTGGTCACTCAGATTTAGTGAATGAATCATTTGAATTCTGTATGCTCTTAGGAGGAGCCTTTTGTGTAGCACATTGTGCACTGTTGATCATGGAATTTGTACATAACTGCAAGCTAGCAACACAGATTGATTTGCATGGACATCACTGGAATGCCTCTCTAAATTGATTAACATTTTCTTCAGAGGTCCATGTCTTTCCAGGAGATTTTACAAGCAACAGACTACCTGTAGTCCTAAGTAGGTTGTCCTCGAACCAAATGCTTTTCCATGTAGGAGGCTGGTGTCCATATTGCATTCTAAAACGATGCTGGCCACCTGTATGACAATGCAACTCTGCTAGCCACAACACGCATTGAACCTGTTCCTGTGGTGTCAACACTGTTACTGAGCCCACCTAAGGTCACCAGCTAGCACACGCACTTAAGCCTGGCATTACAAATCTTTCAGGGTTTTCCTTTCTGATGATATACACTGGATACGTGTATGGCAATTAGTTTCTTAGATATATATTTTTCATTTTTGATACCTTTCAACTGGACACCATGTATGCTTTTTTTTTAAACAAGACTTTTGCCATATGAAACACAACCATGCTCTCCTTTTGCATCACTTACTTAAGACATTTAGAGCAGAGTGAAGTAAGACAAATTACATGATGAGCGCATGTTCTTAACTGGCATGCTATCATGAGTCCAAGTGTACTGTAACATTCTATATTCAAATGAATTTCTCTGTACTTAACAGTTCACAAATGGTGGTAATACCAGTGAAATATCATTCATTCCTATCTGTCCTGGCATCAGCCTCTGCTTTCACTTGTTAACCTTTTCCTTATTTTGATATTTTTCATATTTATTTATGCTTCTTACATTCAACTATGAACAGTAAATATCAACACAGTTATTCACAGACACATAAACACACACCCACAAAATAACACACGCTAGTGTGCCATGAGTTAGTAAAGCATATTCTAGAGTACAGCCATATGGAAAAGAATGAGAAACACTCCAAGAAACGTGTGCTTGAAGTGAATGCTGGATTACAAAAATGATGAGCACTTTACTCACTAATAACATACATCATACCTATAATTGCTTCATTCTTTGGCACTACAGCCCCAGTGGGCCTAGGCCTACCTCCATGAACTACATTCACTTCGGTTTTTCTAGATCTTACACATACAGCAGGACTCCTTGGACGAGTGATCAGCTTGTCGCAAGCCCTCTACCTGTAGACAAACACAGAAAAACGCACACAAACATCCATGCCCTGAGTGGGATTCGAACCCATGATCCAGGCTTCCGAGCGAGCGAAGACAGTGCATGCCTTAGACCACTCGGCTACCTTGTCTGGCGCTTCATTCTTTTACCATACAGTAACCACTGGTCTACGCTAAATTAGAATTGTTCGTATTAGGACTTTATTTAACTGCCAATGATTATGGACAATGATATCCTTGGTTGCGCTGTACCAACAAAATGTCAAGTGCCTCCTAACAACAACTCAATGTCATGTGAGTTGTAGCCAGCTACTATACATGAGTTATCTTGTAATATACACATTTTTCTAATTGCAGTTTTGGTGTATTAACGAAATAGTGTTATTTTAGTGTTAATTTATGACGAAAGACCAAGGATCAAAGACAGAGACATCAATTTTATAGTTTACAGTCATTTCAAGCAAAAAGCAGACACTGGACAGTCAGTGAATAATGGCTGCCAAAGTGTAACACTTTGCGGCAATACAGGAGGTAGAAGTATGGGGAGACCTGTGAGGTAATCCTGGCCTAAAGATAAGTGGGTATATACACAAGGGTTGCACAGCCTACCTGCAAATATGGGCACATTCATGCCTAAAATATTCGATGTAAGGCGTCCCTCTAGAAACTTAATTAAATTATGCCTTAAGTTGCTTTCACACACTCCAACAGTACTGGTATTGGATGCACTAAAAATACATGTGGTGTAGCTGATACCTTTAATGTCAGCTTCAATCCAATAAAAACACTGTTCCAAAACACAAGCATCCGTAAAACTGTCAAGACTGTTCACTATAAATCAGTCCAACATTTAGCAAATACTTCAAGAGTATGTGTTCTTCCACAAGCACAGACTTGTTGGGTAAAAAGGTAAAACTTTCTGTGTGCAATCAGTTAAGCACTATGCCATGAAGACATATTGGGGAATGGAGGTATGGCTCCACCATTCTTGACCTTGGCACTAGATTTCGGTGGTCAGCTTCATGCCTCAGCCACTTCATCAGTACAAAAAGAGCTCCTGATACCCATTTAATAGGAGGCTGAATGGGCCCCAAGAAAGAGTCTGGACATTGCAGAGAAGACAAAAATCCTGTCCCTGCTGGGAACTGAACCCCAGCCATCCAGCCCATAGGCCATCGCTACACCAACTGAGCTGTACTCTCAGAAACTGAAAATAATTTACTTGCTCTAAGAGAAAAGTATGATAATATTTTTAAGGATATGTCACACTGTTTCCTTTGGTCAAACACCACTCACAATTCAGGCTGATGATGTACTGGATACTGCACAAAAAAAAAAAAAACACCAAAATGATAATACAGTCATCAAGTTCGAGTTCTCCACCTTATAAATAAATCAATTTGAGTTAACAGGCTTGGGGAATATAAAATATTGCAAACATGATTTTGAAAATCATTCTATAAAAGCTAAACATGCTCACTGTGGAAGAAAGATTTCAGTGTGCATTACACAACTGCAATAATTAAAAAACTCACATAAGCAAAACAACTTGTTTACTAGATTTCATTATCTGTGAACATACATAATGTACATGTCTTTTATTAAAGTCTGAATTACTGCCCTTAGTGAACCTGGCCTCTACAGACTTCTAACATTTCAATTTTCTTTCATTTAGGTCCTTTATTCAAAGAATCCATCCAGGTCCAAAGCATCTCGTGATCTTTTAACAAGCTTATTTTTATGTTGAGTAGTTGTTAGCCCCATGCCCAAGCCCCCACCCCTTGTCGGCTGTCACACAACAGCTTATTCAATATAGTCGCAGCTACACTACATACCTGGAGGCTGTCTCCTCCATCTGCAACCTGAGAATGTGCCATGCTGTGGTGACAAGGGAACAAAAGTATGCATATATAGCAAAAGCCCCTTCCCCCCAAATGGCAATAATGCCACTGAAAATAGTTTCAATCTCTATTAAAACTCGAAATATAAAAAAGGGTAACTATCACTCACAATTTTCATAAAGCTTCTACAGCTTCAGGTGTAGGAATTATATGCAGAGGTGAACCATTAATGCCCAAGAAGTTGGTTCATGTAATTAGGAAAGATGCAGGATATGAAGCAAGCAATCACTCTATGTCAGGGGCAACAACAGCTGAATAATTCTCATGATGCATTGGGACATTGCATCTGCAAGATTATGTTCAAAAGAAACATGAAAACTTGATAATTGTTTCTATAGTATAGACGGTTTCTCTTGTTTGGGGGCAAATCCTAGTTCTAATCACTTGTAAACATATATTTCAAGAATAATTAACTTGTACATTTTAATATTAGTAATGTTATAGGGATGCCTACTGCCTTACTCTGTATTTTTTTCTTACAGGAACGAGATTGAGGATACCAGGGTATTTTGTGCTGGGATAGAAGGGTCGGGTCTTGAGGTGTACACCGGTGTCACGTGTTAAACGATTATATTTGTTCTATTATTAGAATCATCATTGTATTATCTTAGTATATTATTATATCATGTTATTATTTATTATTGTAAAGTATCTAACTTGTCCTATATCATGTATAATGATCCATGGATATGAAGTAAATAAATAAATAAACAAACAAAATTATTACTTAGATGATATATGGATTAATCAGTATCAATCAAGTAACTGTACTAACAGCTGGCTGATGGGAGGAGGAAGTTTAAGGGTTCCAATGGGGAAAGGAAGAAGACTTTTATCATGCTGAACTTGCTGCTAATGGAGTCTTACCCAACAGCAAACTGGTATTCCATTCCAGTTTTTGAATTCAAGATATTTTCATACAGAAGTGAACTCAAAAAACATTCTAGGAATAGTATTATTTGAGGACTAAATCAGTCATTATAGACATCACAAGTTATCACCCCACTGTTATGGACAAGACTCCAATTATGCATTCTAAGAAGAGGTAAATTTGTAGCATGGCTCTGCAATAAGAATATACATATCTCATTCTGTCAGATCAATATAAGCAGAGTTAGCGGAAATAATGAAAGGAAACGAACCGAGACACAACATTTATTAACTTGCCACCACAGTTCAAGAGAATGGTTACTGTCAGTACAACTACATAGAACTGATATGGTCACAGGTTAATGGGATGTTTGTCCAGAGAAAAAATAAACTTTACAAGTTCTGATAATGAGATGCTAATGCATGAGGTAACAGATGCATAACCATTTCAGTACGGAACAATTGAATCAGGTATAAAGACAATCTGTAAGAAGGGAGATGCTGTAAAGAGCTCATGAAAGATGAAGTCCTAGAAGTCATCACCATCCATATAACAGAAATCTTGTCACAAAGCCTATGCTTTGAATGCAGTAACAATGAAAATAAACAGACAAGTTTCTTTTATTTTCATTTTACATTACTACCAATAATTAAGACATTGCACGAGTTCAACTGTAAGCGGTACCGTCTCAAAAATAAATGAAAGCTGTGCTGACTAAATACAAGAGGCCACATGCGTCTTAAAATCTCTCCCCTTACCCTTTCTGGGCACTATATACACTAAATACAAATTCCATGATAGGTTAAAGGTAACTGGTATACATATACCGGTATATGTGATCATCCTGCAAATGCACCAACAGTTAATACAAGTCAATTATATATATTCATATACTTGCATACTTTCGTGCTTCTCAAAACCTGGAATTCCGAAACAGATTCGATTAGATTAATGTAATTTAATTCACGTCAGTTACGTCAACACACAATCCAGGAACCATAAATTATAATAAATTCTTCACAAAAGTGACCGCTAAGAAGGTTAAAGTATATGGTCACAACATTATCGAGTCCGATTAAACGAGCACTTACTTGTCATTTTCCTTATCGTAGCTGAAAGCACACAATCCAAATTGAACCAGTAAAAAGCCCATCGAGCCACTACGAAGTTTAGAATAATACTGCGATGGTGTATCAAACGCATTTACGTCTTGGCCAGCACGCAATCCGGTGAATTCCCCATCTATGGCTAGAAACTGTGCTGCCGGAATTACACGCTCCAGCTCTAAAATCACTTCGCGGAAATCTATAACAAATAACCGGAATTATGTAAGTTATGCACAATCATAAAAGCACGCCACAATCAAAGTTTAATAAAACTTAATAAATAAAATCATCTTACTTCCTCTCGTCACATCCATTTCACACAACAACCAATGTCTCACACTCCTCACACTTCAGCGCGCGCCAATGTGTCGTAGATTATCTATGGACGTTAGCACGGATAATTATACACGAGCATCAGAGCCAGCTTGATGTAACTCTGTTTCCTTTCGCCACTGGCACCTACGCTTAACTACTTTAACCGACCGTATGTCTCAATTGTGTGATATCTACGACTGAATAGAACTGAACCACAAAACACTGTTCTTTCGGAAGGCACGGTTAAAAAACTGAACGCATGTATGAACAATACGGATATACGGACTGGTAAAATTCCACGGTCACAGAGAAATACGCAGCAGACTTGCTTCGCAATGTTATTATCTTGCAACGTAGTAGTCTTACGCCAAGCAAAAGGATTATGCTGCCATCTATTATCAAAATCTACGATTCTGCAGCTTAATTGGTGTGTTCGCTGCCGAGAGCTCAGTAGGTAAAACATTTCTCCGCTAATCCTTCCTTACTTATCGACTGTACTAGCTTACTCTCGAGTTCACAAAATAACTATCTCCTGCACTATAAATGTTCTTACTCCGGTTTTCGGCAAATGTTTTAATTAATATCACTTCACTTATTATCTATAAGGAGAAAGTTTCTCAACAGTGCTATAAGGTATGAACGCTTCATCCACATCCATGCAACATCCCCTTACTCAAATCCCCTATACCATTGTGAGCCGTTGTGAACTATACCGTACATAGAAGGCATATTCGTAAAAAAAAAAAAAAAAAAAAAAAAAAAAAAAAACTGAAGTTGTGTAAACGTGAATGGAAAGTCTGTTTTCATCAGATATATTGGCATTCAATTTTTTAACGTTTGTTAATAATTTACACATGAAAGCTATGCTGAACATGGGGTTTCAGCCATTATCAAAGGCAGTAGTATTATGAACCTCGAGAATCTGAAATACCCTCTTGATAACACCATTAATATTGAATTTAATAATATATCAATAGTAAAAAATTGCAGAGCTATGACAAACCTTATGAATCTGAAATATGCTCGTGTTATGTTTAATACTGGAACAACATGATTGTGCCATGTTCAACCTGATGGCTTGAAAATTGCCTGTTCGACCCAGTATCATCCCCCCCCCATAACCGTGTCAAACTTCTTTATGTAATTCCATCATTCCAGTGTTCCATGTGATTTCTTCCTTTCTTCAGCAGTTTGAAGAAAACACTTCATATAGGTGGTCTAGGTCTTCTAGGTATCAATTGTTGTAGGACAAGTCTTCCATTTGCCAGCGGATGGCAAGGTGGGTGATGAAATGCGCTTAGGTTATGAATTCAAAATTACTTGGATTCTCGTCCTGGCCGTTGAGAGCAAGGGACCGCTCTGTTGCAACAGTGATTCTGCTGGAGTCTTAATTTATTATGGTTTCACCTTGTATTGTCTGATTTGGGGCGAGTTTTATAACACCATTAGGGTTTTGTTTTGTATGTATTTAGGCTTCCATTGACCCATTTGCATTCTCTGTTGGAAGATGGAACAGCAAAATGTTATGCTTCTGCAAGGAAGTATGGATTACTATGTTAGAACAATACAGGTATCTTGGATGTCACATGCCTCTCTGATGAAGCACACTTCCACTTGGATGGTTAATTACCAAACAAAATGTCCAATTTTTGGCCTCAGTGAATCCAAGGCTTGCCGTTGCGAAGCATAACATTCAGAAAAGAGTTTTAATACAGCAAATTTTAAAGTGTCAGATTACAAATGAACTTCCTCTGTACAGACTTGAATTTGGATCAAATCAACTACTTGAAGATATCATCTATGTTTTTCATTGAAATGACATGACACAACAGATTTTCCTTGTACTGCTGATTGAGATCCCCCACTGGGTTTTGCCAAAATATGCACTTATTCTTGTTATTGACTCTGGTGCTGTTCCCTTTTCTTCTGTAAGAATACAGGTGCTGTTACCATCCCTTTGCACATCTATAACAGACCATTATAATTTTTTTAACTGTTGAACAATCCAATACACACCATCTCTCAATGATGTAAAAGAAAAAGGTATATGGTCCACTTAATCAAATAATCCCTATTCCATGAAGACATATGGAGGAATGAAGATATAGTTCCATCATTTTTGATCTTGGCACTAGATGGAGGTGAAAGATCAGCTTCACGCCCTGGCTGCTTTACCTCCAGTACCAGTTCGATAGGGGACTCAATCATGTAACAGAAACAAAAACTCCTGACGATACTGCCTCTACAGGTATACAAGAACTAGAAGATTAAAAGGTTTGACATCAGACACTTTCAGGCTTGTCACATATGATATCCTGTTATTCGGTTCAGCATTGCCAGTTGGCAGTGAACAAATTTTCTCAAATATCTATAACAACCTGTGAACGATGCAACTGTGTTCAATAACAGATCGGTTATAAAAATATAGTCATCAGTTATACGGAACATACAAAATTTTTGGGAATTTGGTTGGATAAGAATCTAAGGTGGACTGCACATACTCAACAACTAGCAAATAAATTACGTAAAATATGTTTTGCCTTACGAGTAGTCAAAAGAGGATCAGGGTCAGAGACTGTTTGCACCTTATATTATGCTTGTTTTCAATCCTTGTTATTATATGGATTGATATTTTTGGGCAATTCAGGAAATGCAACATTGATCTTTAGGTTGCAGAAGAGAGCTATTAGAGCTATGACACAAATCCCGAAAACCATTAGTTTTAAACAATATTTTAAATCGTTACATATATTACCTCTACCATGTCTGTATATAGGGTGTCCCAGGAGGAATAAACCAAATTTCGGGAGGGTGTTCCTTATGTTAAAGTATGCTGATATAACCCAAAACATCTATGTCCAAAGTTGAACGGTTATGGAGATAATGGCCCAAGAAAAGTGTGGTCTTCTGGCAGGTCCACACACTGTACCTCTCAGCTGAGAGGCCTTATCTATGTTTGTCCTTGAGTGCCTTGATTCACCCTAGCCGTACATATGTAGTTGGCTTTATCAGAATGCGCAGTCAGCCACGTTACGTCAGCGCTTGCCATTCATGTGTCATGTATAGTGCTTGGAAACCCTAAGGACAATTATGACATGGCGAGCGAGTATTTTGTACTTCAATTTTATGGCTTCATGTCACTCACAAGTTAGTTTGATGTTACGTACATTATTAACATTACAGAATCCACATACTCCTGCTAGTTTTAATATGTATTTTGTAATCAACAAGTGTGCAACGCCGGTCAAAGTTTGACACTTCTCTGGCCATTATCTCTGTAACCGTTCAACTTTGGACATAGGTGTTTTGGGTTATATCGGCATACTTTAACATAAGGAACACCCTCCCGAAGTTTGGTCCATTCCTCCTGGGACACCTGTAAGTATATATGAAATTATAATTCACATAAAAACCAATCTGAATGTTTTCATAACCAATTCAGGAATACACTCACACAATACAAGGAGAAAAGAGGACTTGTTCCTAGTGCCATGTAATAAGAGTCTATACAAAAACAATTTCAATAATATTGGACTTCGTATGTTAAATCAGTTGCCACAATATATTAAAGAGATACCAGTACTATACAAGTTTTGAAAGACTTTGAAAACATTCCTATATGATCATTGTTTCTATAGTATAGACAAGTTTCTCGTTTGGGGGCAAATTCTAGTTCTTATCACTTGTAAACATATATTTCAAGAATAATTGACTTGTAGATTTTAATATTAGCAATGTTATAGGAATGCCTACAGCCCTAGCCCTACCCTGTATTTTCTTCTTACAAGAACAAGATCGATACCTGGGTATTTTGTGCCGGGATAGGAGGACCGGGTCTTGAGGCGTACAGCAGTGTCATGTGTTAAATGATTATATTAGCTCTATTATTAGAATCATCATTGTATTATCTTAGTATATATAGTATATTATTCTAATTTATTATTGTAAAGTATTTGACTTGTCCTATATCATGTATAATGATCCATGGATATGATGTAAATAAATAAATAAATATTAAAGTTGTCGGATGATAAATGCCTTCCTTTAGATATATCCCTCAGGTTAGATACAAAATTTAGCAACTCTTGCATAACCTGCGTAAAGGTCATCAGGGGTATATGACAGATATAAAAATGTGTACATTTTCAATATGTTGCTATGAGCTTAACAGTAGACACAAGCTGAATGATACTTTAATGGAAGTTTTATATTGGAGGGGATGGAGGATGATCTGTGCACTGTTCTCATCTGTAGTCCCTTGGTGAAGAGAATTATATGACATTAATACAAGCTTAATTCATGTTATCTCATCAGGTAATTCCTCTGAAAATATGAGTACTGTGAACAGCCATCTTGCAGACAGGTAGTCTGACAAACAGGACCATGCAATATTCCATACTTCTAGATTTGAAATCACTCAAATCAACATTTCCCGTTCATTCCTAACATCAGTCTCAAAGTAACTGGAACTCTAATGATAAGAAAAAACATCATTCTTCTACACAGAAGAGAAAATAATTATGCAACATGGCCTCTTCTAGATATTTCTGTGCAATTATATATAACCATTAAACTCAATCCCACCAACTTTTTGTGGTTCAATCAATATCAGTAACTACTTAAACATTTGATTTGTTTCATTCTGATCCAACTTTTCATGATATTTAAACTTGTTTCAATCTTATGATAGTAAAGGTAAGGTAAAAGGTGATTCTCCTTGTGCTAATTAAGCACTATGCCATGATGACATAAGCTCCATGTTTTCTTGGCCTTGGCACTATTGGAGGTGAGTGGTCAGCTTCATGACCCGGCAACTTTAACCCTGGTACCCCCTGGATAGGAGGCTGAATGGGCCTCAGCACCAGTGTGGACTTGGGAAAAATTCTCATCCTTAACCAGACTCAAACTCTGATTCCTGTCATCCAGCCCGTAGCCAGTTGCTATATCAACTAAGCTATCCCAGCGCTCAAACATATAGCGGTTAAAGAAAAAACTTCAACACAAGAGACCAACAGTTCTACAGCAGAAACTGTTGTTACCGAGTTCTCATGCATAGGAATTATAAAACTAATGGTCTTAAAGTTGACTGAATATTATGTTAACAAAAGCAATTAATCCCATTACTCATAACTCAGAAAGGATATCTTTTAATTGTATAATACTAGATAGAATAATGTACACTTTAATTAAAAACAATTTTCCATATTACAAGATACACTCCTCTTCCTGTATACCAACATATTTGTAAATTTAAATACGACATCCTTCTTTGAAAATCTGCACTCACAAGGGATGTGCAACTGTTTACAAAA